ACACCAGACCAGAATCTGATATAATGCAAATGGAAAAAATGTACCTCCACATTTCAGGCTTTACTCAACATCAAAATACTGGAGAGAAAATTTTATATAAAATTGTTAATATATAGCCCTGATTTTTTCATTGCAGAAGAAGATAGTCTGAGGAGTGACTTGGTGAATGCAATGCTGTTTCCTCATGGCATTCTTTTATTTAATAGGTGGTGTAGGTAGGTATATAAACTTTATTTATGGAACTCATTTATGGCCTATGAACATTTTTATTTTTCCTGAAATTTGGTTCCTGTTATAGCTTCTCTAAGATATTGTTAACACACCCATGTAAAAACATAACTTCTGGAAAGCAGCTCATTTAGATTTTTCTGCTGTTCTCAGCCCAAGTTCTCTCCAAAACAGACTCTTAGGTCTGCTGTTTTCTGAGCATTCTACTTTCCTGTTGTTTTCCAGCCACAACACTTGGATTCCTGTTAATTTCTCCATTTTCTTAGTATCTTCAAATGATGGTTTTCTAGTTTTAAGCTTCTCACCAGCAGGTTTGCCGTCCCTACTTGATGTTGGTGTTCTGGTGTCTTCTTTCCTAAAGTGAAGCATCTACCTTTAAAAAGAATTGGATTTCCACATTCTGTCCATCCATGAGTTTGAAGGATTCCATCTCTACTGTGTTTGCGTCAGGCAGCTAAACATTTTCAAATGACACCCCACCCAATAGCTGTCTTGTCTGCATCCACAGCCCTCCAAAAGAGATAAGGACATCAGGGAGCCAACAAGACTCCTGATGGTCTAGCTACATTCATTCAGCGCCTGTTCTGCATGTCAAAGTTTAGAATTACTTTATATACTTCTGTTGAAGGACAGCAAAATGCTCAGGTCTGCTTTTGATAGGGCAAAATATAAAGAACATACACAGAAAAGTCAGAACTTCATAAGGGAATGCAGCTTTTCAAAAAAGAAAACAAAAGCTGTTCTTCTGTAATCTCTCTGGAGAGAGTATTTCAAGAGAGTGGCAGGTCTTCCTGGTAAAATTTTAACTGCTACGATTGCTTCTTTATCTGTTTGGATTTTTACCCCCCTCTCCCGTCAATCCAGGACAGTATTTGAAGTGTGGGGGCTTTGTGTATAATTGTTTGTTCATCATCGCATTTTCTGTATTTTACGAGTCTACAGGCCATATAAAAGAATTTGGTTTTTTGATTGATAAAAGTGATCACAGATGTCAGGATGTCACTGTCAACACCTAGCCAAGAATTCATGATTCTTTAGATGTTGTCAAAGCATTTTATTATATTTTTCCATCTTAAGTTTCATAACACTTTGTGAATAAGACAGGTGTTACTTAAAATTCTTATTGTCATTCCAGCAAGTGAGGCCTTCATAGTTCAGATGTTATAATATTCACTAGGGATTCTCAACAAATATATAACAATTTACTGCTTATTCTGTAATCCTCTTATGGCTAAGCTCTAAGATAGTTCTACCACCGTATTTTGCCTTTTAGTCATCAGCAAGCATAGGATCTTATCAGGGCAAAGTAGAGATCTAAATGCATTGATTTAAATGTAAAAGCAAATGAAAAATGCATGTTTTTTTTTTTTCCCCATGTGTATGCCCTTATGTACAGAGACCAATGGTCACTTCTGGTGATTATGAAACAGATTAATCCCTAAATAGCAGAATATGTAAAAATCACATGTATGCATTTGGTTTTAGGAATGTGCTTTTGTACTTCCACTTGAATAAAGGTGTGTTTGATACTCAGAATCTGTTTCAAAAAATATCTAAAGGCCTCAGCCAGAAGCATTTGGAAATCTTGGAATCACCTTCCTGGCTGCGACTCCCGTTTCTTCCAGAAACCTGCTTCACAACAGGAGTGGATCACTCTCCTTCACACTGATACAAAACTTGCTCTTCCACAGACTTCGGGAACAAAGTCTGAATGTTTAAGGTTTTAAGGATTATTCAATTGGGATGTTGTTGGCACATAAATAGTTTGAGGTTTCAGTAGAACTAGGCAGAATGTGTGTGTGTGTTTTTTTAAAATAAGTAAAACACATTTTAAAAAATGAGAAACCAAAATAATCCTGGAGGACAATTAACTTGTCTCTTTAAACTTGCAATATTTAATCAGTCCAATATAATGTGAGTTTGTGTTTTTAGTGTTTTAATCTTGAAGATTAAAGGGAGGGAAGAGAAGAAATGTAATAGTTGAGGTACACCAAATTTAGTCTGTCTTCTATCCACCTACCTACATGCATATGTATGTTCATATTCAAACTTAATCCTCACACCTCTGCAAGGGAACTAGCTCCGTTTTACAGAGGAACTGAGGTGTAGAGAGGTTGAAGAATCTGTTAGGGTCACTCAGCAAGTTAATGACTCAAGTCAGGCCTGACTCCCAGGCTTTCCATCATCATGATGTTGATATTAGACACATCCCAGAACCCAGAGAAGTTTTCTTTAATAGCTCTTCATTCCCTGTTATATCCTCAGTGGTTGACTATTACCAGTTTGCAATTAATCTGAATGCTCCCAGAGCTGTCTGGGATACTAGAGAGAAAATATCCCAGTATCTTTTGGGAGCTAGTCAGAGATCCTGCTCCCTGAAACAGGCTTAGATGATTTTGACAATGACATGCCACAGGTCAGAGCTCCCAAATTCTTACCTCCTGTTAGCTGTCCCAGCTCCCATTACTAGGTTTACATTTCCACTTCTCAATGTCCAGAATGTGCTCTTTTTCCCTGCTAACTGGAACTTGCTGATTGATGGACATGTATTAGATTTCCCATCACTTCTGACTAAATTACAGCAATGGAGCAAGGTGGGTAATGGGAAAATCAAGTTTGATTTGTAGGTTTTTGACTTGAGCAAAAGCGTGGATAGACATAGACTGGAGAGATGGGGACCACTGGAAGAGGAGCAGGGAGAGTATTTCAGGCAAAAGAACATATCAGAAGGCCTTCAGATGAAAGAGTTTGGCATCTTCAAGGTAATAAGCTCTCTAGAGGAATGCCTCACCCTAGGAAGTAGTATGTGGGCAACTGAGGAAGTTTAAGAATGAAGTTGAAAGGAGGCCCCTCGGGTGTCATAATGGCAAAGCCCAATGGAATCCCCACCTCTGAAAATGTGACCTCATCTATCTTTTCATTCATTCAGTAGTACAGTTGCCAGATGCAATGATGTTCAGTGCCAGCCCATGGGCACAGTTAACATAAATCAGACCATCTATTAAGTGATGAAGACTAAAACAGAGTAGTTGTCACAGCAGTGACTGGAATTGGACATTTCTGTGTTTGAACTTCGCTATTTACTGGCTGTGTGACTTTGGGCATGTTAGCCTCTAGTTTCCTTGTCTATACGATGGTTAATAATAGCATGAAAATTAAATGAGGTAATGTAAAAGGTACTGGCTATATCTTTTTTTTTAAAGATTTTATTTATTTATTTGACAGAGATACAGAGAGAGATACAGCGAGAGAGGGAACACAAGCAGGGGGAGTGGGAGAGGGAGAAGCAGGCTTCCCGCGGAGCAGGGAGCCCGATGCGGGGCTCGATCCCAGGACCCTGGGATCATGACCTGAGCCGAAGGCAGACGCTTAACGACTGAGCCACCCAGGCGCACCGGTACTGGTTATATCTTAAGTGCCAAAAAGTTACGAACATAAACACCAATATAAAAACCAGTGAGAATGTAAGTGTTTAGCATAAAATCAAAAAAAGAGGGAATTAAGGAGCAAGCATTTAGCAGTGCAGGACTAGCATTGTCCAGGGAGGGATACTCTGGTTTTGGAGAACTTAAATACGAATTGAGAGGTCATCAGGAATCCTAGACTGTGGTAGGAACTGCCTCCCCGTAGGCACTCCTTACTGGAGTCAGCAAGCCTTGACATCGGTCTCTTCTTGCTAACATTTGTATCCACTGGCATCACATCTGACACTCCCTTCAAAATATGGGCACATGAGTGAACCAGTGTTTACTCTGAAACTGCAAGGGTAGTTTCAAACAGCGTACTGTACAAGTCAATGAGAAAATAAATACTGGAATTTTTCATTTTGCTGATGCATCCCATTCACACTCTTCACTTTTTTTTTTTTTTTTTTAAGATTTTGTTTATTTGACAGACAGCGAGAGAGGGAACAGAAGCAGAGGGGTTGGGAGAGAGAGAAGCAGGCTTCCCGCCCAGCAGGGAGCCCCCGATGCGGGGGGGGGGGGGGGGGGGCTTGATCCCAGGACCCCGGGATCATGACCTGAGCCAAAGGCAGACGCTTAACGACTGAGCCACATGGGTGCCCCCACACTCTTCACTTTTAGAAAATAGTTAACCTCATATTTGTATCCCATTCATGTTTATAAATTTACAACTTGGGCGTAATGACAGTATCTGTCTTTTTCTTTCCCACACTTGATCCTATTACCAATCTCCACCTGGTCTAACCTTTGTCCTCCCCCCAGGCGCAGTTTGACTCCAGGCTCTGGTTTGAACTGGCCAGGGTTCTAAAGGCTGCCTTTACTTGCTTACTGAGTCCGCAGTTTTTGGCACCTAAAATTGTGAAAAAGTATGAACTTCATGGGATTGTTGTGAAAATTAATGAGATAATGCCAGTTTACTCCAAAACTGGTAACTGTTTCTGAGTTTAGCAGGAAACCCGCCCATCATGAACAACTCATTTCCCTAACATTTTTCCTGCTTCAACATATCAAAGCTATCTCTGGCAAACTCGTCCAGGCACAGTTTAGTGTTTGACATCTTGACCCTATTTCTAAGGCTTTTCTTTCTCTTTTAGCCCATTGGTACCAATGTTACTCCTGCTTACTTACATACTCAGGCACAATTGGGAGGTAATGGAGTAATGTAGGGGAAACACCAGTCCGGTTGAAGCGACCTAGGGAGAGGACAGGCTGGACTGCGGGCGTAGGGAAGGGATTCGGGCCCAGCAGGGTCATCCCTGCCTTGTGATTTGCAAGGAGGGAGGTGGGAATGGGTGGTAAAACGGCAGGGGTCAAGGGAGGCGGCAAATGAGGTGCATATGGGACAGTGGGGGTGAGAAAGAAGGAAACAACCAATTTAGATCCTAGGTCCACATGAGCGATGAAGGGCAAATAGAGAAATCTAGCCCCATCCTCCCTCAATGCCTCCTTGGGTAAGGACAAACGCCAAAGGAGGCGCCATCCCAACGCGGTTCTGGGCGCAGCTCCCCAGCGGCCCCTGCAGAACCCGCGATCGAGAGGAGACCTCCGAGCTGCCTAGACGGGACCCGGAAGTGCGCGCCGGGGAGCCCGAGTTTCCAGTCGTGCCCGGGGACCGAGGGCGCCGCCGCTGCGGAGCGGCTGCGCGAGTGAGTATCGGGGTCCCGGACTGGGGGCTGCGGGTCCGCCCTGCCGCGGGGGGTGGGGCTCGGGCCGAGGGGACGCCGGTGGCGTGGGGTTGGGGCCGCGGGCCTACCCAGCCCCGGGAGAGTGAAGTGGGAGCCTCTCCTGGAAAATCTTCGCTTGCCGTTTCCCCTACATCTGCCCTCTTCCCCCTCCCTTTCCCGCAGTGACTGCCCGTCCGTTGTGCCGCGCTCTGAAGAAATTTTAGAGGAGGTCTTGTCTTTGGAGCAGCACTGGGGATTGGATCCAGCCCATGGAGAAGCTGCCTGAGCAGATAACCCCGGAGTCCCTGTCCCCATCCTCCAAGCAGGAGCCCCGAAAGAGCAAGGGTGAGGAGCTGACCTAGCTGGCTTTCTTTGTCTAAACTTTGTCCTTCCAGCCGCGGCCTCGGATCAGATGGACACGATTAACTTTACACTTAGAATTGTCCTGGTGAAAAACGACTTTTTTTTTTTTTTTTTTTTTTTAACCCCAAGGCTCTATTACATGTAAATAAAGCCTGTAACCAACGTTTCCTCTCTTGACTGTGTGGAGCAGACCTGCAGCACAGTACTGTCCTAGCACTAAGTCTTGGAGGATCTTGTCATTCCAGCACCTGCCAACTTGCTTGGCCTTTGGAGAAGCTCAGTAAATGTGTGAATAAATAAATGAACTCAGCCAAGAATGTCCCATATCTCAAGTGCCAGGAAAAGAGCGGGCTCCTCCACTCATCCTACCCAAGCTCTCCTTCATCCTTAGGGAAGATACATTTACCACCCAACATATAAACTCCAAGCGGGTGCCTTGCCTGTGGAGTACAGTAGATAAGCCAGCCACCTGCTGATGGAAAATGAGGTTAAACTATTAGTATCAACATTTTTGTTTCAATCTGCCATCCCACCATTATCTGGTGTATGTCTGGCCACTAAAAAAATGGACTTGGATTATTTAATTGGGTGACAAAGGCTTAGATAATCCACATCATGGACTCTGAGATGGCTTATATTTGGGGAGATTTTCTTTTACACATTTATGTGTAAAAACTATGTTTTCAGACTAATTTTTAACTTGACAGGTATTTATTGAGCTGTTAGTATGAGGTGTTGAGACTAAGTTGAAAGAAAACCTAACCCCTACTCACCCACAAACTTAAGAGTTGAGTTGGAATAGTTACCTGTGAGAGGCTGTGGACAGTAAACTATGTAGAAGTTTACCAGAGGAGATCCTGTGAACTGGGTTTTGGCCCAGGAAGTCTTAGAAAGTCACAAGTTTGGCCTTGAAAGAATTTAGAGTAAGAAAGGAATCAAGTTGGCCTTTTTAAAGTAGTATACTATTGTTATATTTATTTAGAGAGAGTGAGTGAGCCAGCGGAGGGGCAGAGGGAGACGGAGAGAATCCTAAACAGGCTCCATGCCCAGCGCGGAACCCGGCATGGGGCTCGATCTCACAACCCTGAGATTATGACCTGAGCTGAAATCGAGAGTCGGACGCTTATCTGACTGAGCCACCCAGGTGCCCCAGAAAGGGGTCAAGTTTTAAATGAGAGGGGATAGATGCTTACCATAGGCTCCCTGTTGCTAGTCTTTCTAAAAGGCCAAGTGCCTGTACTAACCTTCCTAAAATGCTCATTTACTCATGTTGGTTCACAGTGCCCACTGCATTCAGTCCATACTCCATAACCTGGCATCCAGGGTCCTCTGCAGCGTGGCCTCAACCCACCTTGAAAGTCTTTCCTTAGTGTGCTCCAAAACAAACCAGCAAGACTGGTGTGTCTGCACAGAGTAATGCCAGAGACCCTGCACTCTCCACCGTTGTGCCTTTGGTCCGTTTTCTCATGTACGTTACTGTCCCCTACATTCTCTGCCTATCCAAACGCCACACATCCCAGCATCCCGCACAGGGCAGCCTCCGAGGTGAAATTTCTGAAACAGACTTGAACTGTGAGGAAGGAAACAAACAGATGCAAGAGACATTTACACGAAAACCCGAGGACTTGGTGGTTGATGGAGCATTAGGGGGAAATTGGGAAATCGCCCTTGTTCCCTTCACTGTCATACCTCTTAAAAAAAAAAAAATCATCACTAGTTGCTATTGCTTTTGTAATGCAGGGCACTGCTTCTGCTCCATCAGAACTGATGGTATCCAAGTTGCCAATGGCTTAGCTAATGAAGCCACTGGACACATTTTTTTCGGCTTTAATTTTTTATTGATGTGATCACTCTTCCTTGCACCTCTGTTCTTTGGTTTTGGAAGCACCATTTTCTTTTCTTTTTTTTTTTAAATTTTTTTTTTTTTTTTTTTTTATTTGACAGAGAGAGCACAAGCAGAGGGAGAGAGAGGGAGAAGCAGGCTCGCTGCTGAGCAAGGAGCCCGATGTGGGACTCGATCCCAGGACCCTGGGATCATGACCCAGGCTGAAGGCAGCCGCTTAACCGACTGAGCCCCCCAGGCGCCCCTGGAAGCACCGTTTTCTTCTGGTCTTCCTCTTGCCTTCTCCGGGCCTTCCCCACTCCTGTTTCTCCATCTGTTTTTAAACAATTTTTCCCCAAGACCGTTCTTAACCTTCTTTTTTTCACTCCTGTGGGTGATCCTATCCCCTTCTAGGACTTCTCTTAACCGCTATCTGCTGCTCTTGCCGCCATCTGGGTCCTGAATACTAGATGTTCATGGTTGTGCTTTGGAGCTCCTTGTTTTCTGTCAGGCCCACACCTCCCTACCTTCCAGTGACTGCCTTGGTTAATTTAATTTTTTAATTTTAATTTTTTTTTAAGATTTTATTTGTTTATTTGACAGAGAGAGACACAGCGAGAGAGGGAACACAAGCAGGGGGAGTGGGAGAGGGAGAAGCAGGCTCCCCGCGGAGCAGGGAGCCCGACGCGGGGCTCCATCGCAGGACCCTGGGGTCATGACCTGAGCCGAAGGCAGACGCTCAACGACTGAGCCACCCAGGCGCCCCCTGCTAGAAAACTTGGAGTTGTACTCTACTATTCTCCTTCCCTCCGTATTCAGTCAGCCACCAAATCTGTCAGTTTCTCTTCAGAAAGGCCTGATTCTGTTGCCTATGATTGCCATTTCCTCATTTTAGACCCATTCTAGTTTTCTTGGATTGTTGACACATCCCTGTGCTATTGGTCATGTCCCCTACTCTAGGCTGTCCTCCACTGTGCTGCCAGAATGAATTTCCCTGGGAACAAATTTGATCATGTCAGTCTCTGTCCAAAGCCCTGGGTGTGGTATACATGCCTCTTCATATCTGGCTCTACTCTATTTTTCTTTTCTTCTTTCTTTCTTTCTTTTTTTTTGAGAGCACTAGAAAGCGCAAGCAGAGACAGGGGCAGAGGGAGAGAGAGAGTCCCAAGCAGACTCCATGCTCAGCGAAGAGCCCGATGTGGAGCTCAGTCTCAGGACCCCAAGATCCAAAATCAAGAGTCGGATGCTTGACTAATTTAACCACCCATGTGCCCCGTCTGGCTGTACTCTATTTTTCTGCTATATCTCCTGCTTCCTGCCCACATGGGGCATACATTTCACTCACATGGAGTTTTTGTTTTTGTTTTTCGTTTTCTATTCCTTGAACTTAGTGTTCCCTTCTATGTTGCTGAGCCTTAGCAGATGTGATTACTTTTGTCTGGAATACTCTTCACCTTGTTGATCCTGATCATAGTTCAAGATCCAGCTCAACGTCATTCTTTGAGGCTTCCATCTCCAGCTCACCTAGGTAGGGGTTGTCCTTCCTAATTGTGCTTTGAAGCACCATTATAATCCCTCTACCGGTATCTTGCACGTAGTAGATGGTATGTACATTTCCTGATTGGTTAAATCAAACAGGGAGTGTATTTGTTTCCTAGGGCTTCTGTAACGAATTACCACAACTTCATGGCTTAATACAGCAGAACTGTATTCTCTCAGTTTTGGAAGCTAGAAGTCCATGAGGGCTGTGCTACCTCTGAAACCTGTAGGGAAGAATCCCTCCTTGGCTGTTCCCAGCTTCTGATGGTCCCCGGCAAATCTTGGTGCTCCTTGGCTTAAGGCTGCATCACTTAGTCGGTGTCTCCGTTGTCACATGGCCTTCTTTCCTGTGTGTTTCCATGTCTGAATCTTCCTCTCCTTTCTCTTATATAGATGGCAGTCATTGGATTTAGGACCCACCCTAATCCATTATGACCTCATCTTAACTCTGCAAAGACTTGGCTTCCAAACAAGGTCATATTCTGAGGTACCAGTTGGACATGAATTAGTGGGGGTGGGGCAGGGAAATGACACCATTGGACCCAGTACAATAAGAATTGCTCATTTCTTCTACTGTTAGAAGTAAATATACTTGGGGTCCCATGGCTTTGTAGTTAAACAAACTTGAAGAACTGCATAGATTTTTACCCCTTCCCTTTAAATTAGAAGCAGATCAGCGAAGAAACTTTTTTTTTAAACCTTTGACCACAGGGACACATTTGATTTGCTTATTTCAGGGGGCAGCTGCTCTCTTCTTGGGCTTCTCAAGCTCTGTCTCAGACCAGCCACTGTCTGCTGAGGTATTCCAGAGGGTCCGGCTCTCCACCAAGTTTGAATCCACGTTTTTGATATTTTTTCTGTAAGTGGCTCTGACCTATGAGGAGATATACCTCTCTGAATTCTATTTGAGCCTCAGTCCTGAAGACTTTTTATAAATGGTCTATTTGGGACCCTCAGTGACTTACAGATTCTTCTCTTGATTGCTGGGAGATAATCAGGAGCATTTTGAAGCACCGAATGTGCGCAGGGTTCTTTACATAGCACTGGGCTTGGAGACAAAGAAATGGAAGACATCTTTTAATCTAGAGATGCTTTCAGCATAAATTGAAGGGAACACACACACAACTAAAAATACTTCTGAGGAGAGGCCCAAAGACAATGTGGCTAAATGCCATGAAGGAGACAGGAAGCGAATGCTTTAGAGATTTAAAGGAGAGCTCACTTCCAGCTGGGATTAGAGTAGGGTTAGGTTTCAGGAAGGAGGCTGCCTTGAACTGGGTCTGGAAGATTGAATAGGATTTTGATAGGTGGAAGAGAAGTACAGGTGTGCGGATATACACGTTCAGGAAACTGTTCACATTGACTGTGGAGAAGATGTGACAGGAGATGAGATGGTGAGGCAGAGTAGAGTAAGACTGTGCGAAAGGAATGCCAGGCAAAGGGCTTAGCTTTCGTTTGGCAGATATTGAAGTATGTTATGTTAGCTTTTCTTAATAGGCAGCCAGCCGGTGAGCGTTGTATATCAAGGGAGAGAATCTGATTTGTTGAGTGTGGTATGGGAGGTGAGGTGATTAGGATCTGACTTTAGGACGTTACTAGTGATAACAGGAAGGTAGGGACA